ATGCAATATTCAAAAAAAGTTTATAATACGCAAGAAAATTGTACAATGTTCAACAAAAGTTTTATAATATTCAAGTGGATTCTTAAAGTCTCTTGTACATTAAGACTACTGACAAAATAATATTTTAATCAATGAGTTTCCTTTCCTTGTAGCCAAATTGTGAATGTGATTTGAGGAGTACAACAAATCGATATATAGCTGACTTGTTTTTTTTCATTGTAGTTTTTTTTTTTTTATAATGAATTTAAAGATATTCTAAAATATAGCAAAAAATAATTTTTTTATTACAATTAGGAATTTTACTAAGTATAGACTCTCAATCTATAGTGTTAATCAACGTTTAAGTCTAAAAATTTAGGAATTTTTACCTCTTTTAATCAACGTTTAAGTCTAAAAAACAATAGAGTTATTATAAGTTTTTTTTCTACATCTTTTAAAATATTAAATATGAGCATGTTAGGGCTAGCTTGTAAAATAATTAATATATTATCTCACTAAAACATTTATACTAATAAAAATTTAATTTTACCATATAAATTTATCCCCTGATATAAAATAAAATAACAGTTTTACTTATTGTTGTTCACCATATAATATTAATTATTATTTTATTATGTAATAAAAAAAGAATATTGTTAAATAGTGTAGTAGAATTGTTATAAAATTATATGATTTTTTTTTTTACAATATGGATTTAATATTTTTTATGATTTGATAATATAAATAAATCTATACTTAACTTTGACAAATAAAACAAATAAATACTTTAGTAAGTATTTAATGTATATACTAAATAGGAATATATTTGGTATAATCAAATACCAAATATAATCAAATAAGTCAAAACGTACATTTTTATTTGGTACTTGATTTTTTTATTATTAAAATCTTTTTATTATACTTACCTTTTTAAAATAAAACAAATAAATAAATTAATTAAATAAATAAAATATTATAATACCAAAATAGTAATAGTATTTAATGCAGTTGACTTTTCTGGATAGTAAATGTAGTAAATAGAATCTCTTTTTATAAGTATAGATATGATATTATATTATGTTGCTCAAAATAGTAATGCATTTATTGCATTGACTTTTCAACTTATTAAATTTCGTAAATGGTACACCTTATTATATAAGTATAGATTTAGGTAATTGCAGCTGATTTATTAAAGTAATAAATCACATAAAAAATTCTTAAATTCCATATTTTGGGGGATTCGAATTCTATTCTAAAATATTAAATCTATTTATGTTAATTTCTTAATAAATTAAGCAAGTCAAGATTAGCGTTAGATAATTTTGAATCGAATAATATGTCCAATATTTATGTTGTTAGCCAAGGAAAATTTAATCTCTTCATTTAGTTAATACAGATATTATTATGTTGTAAAATAGTTAGTCATGGAGGTCGATTGTCATATATTTTAAACGAACTAAAATATTTAAAATGTTAATAACATATATTTTTTATATTATTTGATAGAGTATAGAGCATAATATTTAATTAAAAAAATATGCATATTTATATCTATATCTACATATATAAAAATATTTGTATTTACCTGGAATATATATATAGATAAAAGAAGTTTGTATATATTTGAAATAGTAACTAAATCCCGCAAAAAAAAAAAGAACCTATATTAGTGACTTTTATAAACATTTTTGAAAAGTAACGGGCAATAATTTGAAATTTATATTAAAAAAATCAAAACATTTAACGTACAGAATTATTTTGGTCAAATATTGCAGTTGTTACAAATCAAATCAAATAAATAATTGTCAAATCGTGATTTTATGTAATTTTGCACAATTTAATTACATATAACATTTTCAATAAATTAATATAGGTAAATTATAATACGTATTAGTTCCATATTTTTAATTTATAAATATTATTTAATGAACATTTTTAATTTATAAATATTAAAAAATATCTTTTATCCGTGCATCCCACATGATTCATATTAGTTAATTCAATAAGACTTAGAAAATTCTATTAAGGGATTTTATTGACGAACAAAGATGAGTCAAATATCAGTTTTGGAATGATATAAAACTGTATCGGTTCATAATCTACAAAATTTTATAAATATTGACGAAAATGAAAACGAAGAATCGTGTAATTCCAAAAAAATAAAAAATAAATAAATAAAAAAAATCGTATACTATCTAATTTTCTCTTTTCAATTCGGGTCAACAGTCCACCCATACTTTGTTAGTGAAAATGCAGGAATGGCCCTTGAAGAATGTTTTAAGCTGGCCCAACAATAGAACTCCTATTAAGGTAGTAAAAGGCCCAATCCGTTTCTAGTAAGTCGTATCCGTAAAAGCCCAATCTGTTTAAGGGAGTAAAAAGCCCTCTTGAGATCTCGGCTTGTCAAGTGAGTGATTTTTTTTTTCTTTTTTTTTTCTATTTTTATTTTACTTTTATTATGTATTTATTTATTTTTTTAACGCAAGTTGAAGAAGTCGGCCAGGTAAAATATTGATTTTCTATTCTTCAGGTCAGTTTGGTTTTACAATTTTGTTATATTTTCAAAAGTATGAGAGTTGAGGATATTAAACAAAAATTTGGCCTTGTGGTTCTGTATCATTACCTGCTTTCATACATAAACACACAATATATATTCGTGTAAATGCTACTAAGATGGGTTCTATAGGATACTTTAGGTCCATGAGCATTTATTTGAATTGGATCTAAAGTCCACTTTGCTTTATTGAACTTCTCTAGTTTTTTCCTCTTAATCTAATTAAATACTGATCTAATCTATTATAAGAATCTATCACTTATTACGTTTTATGCAATCAATCTAATTCATCATTTATTACTATATTTTTGCAATCAATATAGTGGTTCATGAGTTTCACTACTGAATTTGCAAAGTTTGATTAAATTCCTTCTTGATATAGTAGGTTAAGTATATACTTGCATACATATAAAAATATAAAAATATTGCAGTTAATGGGATAGTAGGTTAAGTATATACTTGCATACATATACAAATATTGCAATTAGTGAATTGTAACATTTACAAACTACTAGTATTCGATCACGTGCATTTGCACATATATAAATAAAATATTATAAGTTATTTTGTATGCATATAATATGAAAGTTATAAGTTAAATAATGGTATTATGTTTTATGATTTGATCATTGGTTAAAATAAACAGTACATAACGATTTGATTGCAAATGAATCACTTAACTGCATAAAATGTATTAAGTAATTTTTTTTTATTTTTATTTTGAGTTATCATGAATAATTAATTAGCTCAAAAATGTTAAAGTTATTATAACAATTGCTTATGAGATTTTAAAGAATTTTACTATGACATTAAAAAAAATTAATTTATCTAAAAAACATTCGCTTAATCGGATAAAAAAATTTAATATTGATTTTAGAATAAATAACTTGAATAAAAAGTCTTTACAATATAATTTTGTATACTTATGTAACTTTCATATATCATTTAGTGTAAAATATAATTATTAATTCTAATAATAATTATTACATGATACAATAAAAAAAATATATTTATTACCCAACTAATATAAAATATAACAGTTTTTATCTTAATTATCTAAATTTAACATCGGTGATTTTATTCACAATAGGGACGATTCCAGACAAAATTTTATTTGTAGCCATAAGAGCATAATTGAGCCCCCAACAAATGAACAAATCACAGCAATCAGAGACAAAAAAAATATTACAAATAGAGGGCTGAAACTACAAAATTGATCGGATGCTGGTAGCCATACTTGATCGGATGGCCTGACCGACGATGACGAGTCTGATGGTACAGACGGTGAGTCCCGAAACTCACCGGAAATGTGTGTGCTCTTAANAAACCGAACTTTATTTGTCTAGTGATGCCATGTAATGCTATTAAGTTCAATTGATTAATCTCAATGAGGATTACAAGGTGTATATATATAAGTCAAAAGAGACGTAAGAAAGGAAAAATAATCAAAGAACCTAATCTACGGAATTTATCATATCACTTAATTGATACAATCTAATCTATATCATATTTACGATAACAATATATACACACACAAACAAAATATAATTCTAAACCAAAACAAGGGAAAAAGATGCAGCAGCCTTTAAAGCTGAAAACTATGTACATCTTAGCAACCTAACTCGGGTGAGGTGTGAGCACAAAAGGTAAACAATAATTAATAATAAATTCATCCCTTTTATCCAAAACAATGTGATTTTTTTTAATCGGAACTGTAGGAAGCTCATATATTCATAACTTAAACGAGACTAGGGAACAACTACTCAGCCAAATACATAACCAACGTCGAATAAGCTGAATAGCTGACTCTAGTAGGGAGGACTACACACGGCAACCTAGAGTCAACCTACAACACAAAACACAACTAGAAACTCCCAACATGAGAAGAAACAAAGGTCACAACAAGAGAATATGCCAAACACACTTTCAACAAGAGACAAAATAAAACACAACCATAACAAAGCAACTAAGAAACACAAACTACCAAACTAAACACAAACAGAAACAATGTAGATTATATGGTGTCATAACGTAGGTCATGAATTTTATACAAAAAAGGCACTTTTGAGTTCGTCCGGCTCGTCAGGGATCAAACAAGTATCGTACCTACGAAGATGCAATCAGAATAAACTATTTTTTTTTTTTTTTTTTTTTTTTTTGGTTCACTTTCGTCCATTTATTGTTGAAGTGAAAATTTGTGCTCTAGCTCGTTCATCAAAGTTCGTGCTTTGATAGTTTGGTAAAGTTTATTAAAATTGTTTGATTAACTCAAGATCAATTTGTTTGAAATCGTTTGCAAATTGGCTCGTGTTCATTCTAACGAACAAGCCAAATTTTTCGTTCGAGCTCGACTCGATTAAAAAAGAAACGAGCTTTTGTCGAAATAAAACTAACTCGGCCAAGTTATTTGTGTACGTTCGATTTATTTATAACTCTACAAACTACATAATCCGAAGATTATGCATAATCTTCTTTAATTAGTGTAGCTCTTTATTTCATAATCCAAATAGTAATTATTATGTACAAAATTTAGAGGAGCATTTGAACTACAAAAAGAAGAAGAAGTCATTACAGTCACCATCATAGCATGTAGTTTACAAGCTTTAGAGTTCAAAAGCTTAAATTGAGTAGAGACAATCTTGCCCAGGCCTGAAAACAACTAACATACAAATACCAACTAAAACATTCCCATAATAGTACTTCATTAAAGCCTAAGAACTACACCACTAAAGCTGCTTTATTACTTGCCCCTATCAGATTATATGGCTCATTGCTTCTTACAGCTTTCGGATACCTCGGTTTTCGCAAATCGGCCGCGAACTCTCGGTTGGCTGTCAGCCAGGGCCTTCCTGCATGCATACTTTAAACAAAAGAACATTTTGCAACTCAATATATGTTCTAAGTAAAAAAAATAAGATTGTAACATTCAATTTTTTTCACGTTGATGCCATAGGTAAAGCAAAGGCATTGCTGTAAGATCACATCAGAGCAAAAAAGTAAAATTTGATTAAATATTCGACATAATTTACTAACACCAAAAAAATTCAACTTTTTGCTTCTATTTACAAACACAAAATATCAACAAAAATAAGCAAAACAATAACAAAATAATAATAATTAGGAATCGCTTTCAAAATTCACCTTGATTTTCCTATCGAAATTCCTCCTCGATTTCTTGCTCCAATAACGGGACAGCTTTTCACGGCGTTCTTCAGAAGCAAAGATGCTCGGGACTTTAGGATGTCCGACTGGCGACTGAACTTGGCTTACGTTACCATTATTATCGAGAGTCTGTCATAAAAACTCAGAATCAATGACCCTTGCCCCAATCCTGTCGAGGCCAGAAAGAAACACAATCTATACATTTCTTAGTCGTTAAAAACATTTTCACGGTACCAATAAACGGTGTGTATGTCTCGAAAGGAGAAATAAGTCATCTCCCCTGAAGTTAACATAGATATTTAGCCAGTTAAAAGATTTTATCTTCCATTGAAATGTCGATTAATGCATGTAACCTCTAACTCCCTATACAGCTAAACATTCCTTAAGAAAGTACTCTCAATTCCCTTTTGAGATTTCATTCCTAAAGAAAGTACTCTCAATTCTACTTATATCTCAATTGTCGGGGTTTTTGAGGAATCAACCATTTCACCAAATCCTCTCGAGGAATCATCAAGTAGTAAATAAAAAACCAGTAAAAAAACGTAAAAATAAATAAAAAAAATTTGACCTTCATGTCTCCTTCACTGAACGCCCTACGCATCCCATAAACGGCCTCAAAGTCCAACACAGGAAAATCGAAAAAACCCGGTCCAGCTTGCTGCTGCTCGAGCTCCATCGACCTCAGACAAGCCGAGCTCACGCTCTTCTGAAACCTCTCCTCGTTCGGGATCTCGATTTTCAGCACCTCAGATAATGGGGTCTCATTGCCTTCCTTGGCCAAGAGATCCTTTTGGCACTCGTAAAAGACCTCACTCAAGAGTTGGCCATTCTCGATCGACGATTCTATATCTGACACAGCCATCGATTGTTGGGGGATGGCATCTTCTCCACAGGAGATCATTGAGATGGCAGCTGCTAATGGGTCGGGCCCAAATATGGGTTCCTCGATTATGGGCTCGGGGGCTTTGAACAGGTCGTCTCCGGCCCACAGGTTGTAGTCGGACACAGTGCTGCTAGGCATGCCCTGTAATTAACAAGAACATTCTAAATAAATAAAATAATCTATATTTTTGTTTTGCAATATGAGAATGATTCTGAATCATCATATGTTTAAAGAGATTAAATTCTTTAGATCTTGAAATCTTTTCAAGATTGGTAGTACCTGATCAGGAAGTTGAAAGTGCATGAACTGTGAAGTTTTTGTGTTGGATGATATATCTTGAATACATAAAACTACACAACAGTTGCTAATAAGAATCACACACAACTACCATGATACATGATAAAATTGACTTTAGAATTAAATAAGGAAGAAATCCATGGAAACAATGAAAATGTATACTTTCTTTCAGCAGAGATTTTCCCCTTAAGTTGTTCAAGTAAGATATTAAGCTCCCCAAGCAGAAAAACACAAAAATTACATTAATACATAACCATACTCAAGAACAACTGATTAACAAGGCTTTTTAGGCTCAGTCCAGACAAAAGAAACAGAGGGAATGTACATATGTAATATTAGGACACAATTATCAGGCACTAGAGGTTGTCCCTACTCCAACTTCCTCAAAGTAAACACCAATGATTGAAGTGTTTATAAAAAGCACTTCTTTAAAATCCCAGGTTACAACATATATAAGCTGCTCGTTTTATATAAAACCCACTAGAGGTACCTACAAGATCAAACCCCTCTAGCAGATAAAAAGGGGAGGTCATTTTGATCATCCCTTTTAAAAGGGGTATTAAAAAGATTCCTTTTTGCCCCTTTTTTCCTTCCACAATTGGATATCACATTGGGAGAACAGTAGAACACACACAAGCATACACCTTTCAGTACACACACTATTGAAGTAAAGGGTAAAGCTTAGCTTTTTATTTTAACCCACGTTTTCCATTCTACCTTGATTCACCATAAGTGCGATGAAAAGTGCTCACAACAAAGAAATTGACATAATACAGAATACC